ACAACAAAGTTGCTGGATCTAGTTCTTGCATTGCGATCTGCCCCTATGTCAAAGTTCAGCTGTCTGCCTTCACCCTCTGTGGTTCGCTACCACCAGAACAGTACCGTTACGATCTGTGTATTTGCTAATCTCTGCTATGGCAGGGTCTCATTCACTTCGTAGCTTATTGGGCAGCTCAGGGCTTAATACAGAGCTGGGCTCTGCATGTATTGTAAAAGGAGCTGAATTTATATTTTTTCATCCATTTTTTTCCTCAAGGAGATGGTGCTACCATTTTTCCATGGGACTCACCTTTTGTTGATAGGAGAACATTGCCTGCTGGAATTGGTGTTTGGATACCAACTGTGAAGGGCTCTAGCAGGAGAAAAATCTTGCCCCTGGATTGCACTCAAAAAAATCAGGCTTTTTCTGAATGAGACAAAAAACATAAATGCTAAACGGAGTGCCTTTGTTACTGGAAGGTTTTCTACACTCCAAAGGAAAAGAAGCTGAATGTATAAATGTTTTTTGTGATGCTTTGTTTTGCTTTTGGTTTGTGTTTTGTTTTGTTCTTGAGAGAGGGTCTCACCATGTAATTCAGGCTGACCTGGAGATCTCTCTGTAGAGTAGGCTGACCTTAAGCTCACAACAGTCCTCCTGCCTTAGCCTCCTGAGTGCTGAGATTATAGGTGTGCACCACCATGCTTGGCTTGGCTTTGCTTTTTTAAAGGAAATTCTTTCTTGGTGTTAAGTAGTGCTAGAAAACAACCTGTGTGCAGAATTACCCTATTGCAGTAGAGCTCAATTTGTTTCATCTCAGCATTGCTTCATTGTGTTAGCATTCTCAACATGTTTCATCTTTGAAGAAGTAGGACAGCCAATTTGATGCATTCATGATTTGAAAGCAAGACAGAGGTCATCTTTTAATTTTTTAATGTTGCTATTATGTAGGAAAGTTGTAGATTTCTTGTGGCAGTTTGTACTATTTATTATCCAGGGTTGTGAATATTGACAGTGGTGATGGCTCTGGCTTCTTAATCTAACTTCTGGATTTTTTTTTTTTTTTGAAGTACTAGGGACTGAAGCCAAGGTTTCATACATGCTAGGCAAGTGCTCCACCACTGAGCTACAGCCCCAGCCCCTTGATCTGACTCCCTGGGTGGTATGTTGGGTGTTCATCCTCCAGTTTCCTGCTGTGCTGGTAGCTATGGTGGTAGCTCCTATTCAAGGTCTCTCCATGACCCTCTCAAAAGTGTAGCTCCTCTAGTAGGTAGGTTCTGTATTGCTTAAAAAGCATCTAGGAAGTCTAGCCTAGATTCTGATCCTTCAGCCTCTGCAACTATTTTGTAAGCATGTAAGTGTTTATAGGAGGCCCTGTCATACTTAAAATACCTAAAATAATTTCTTTGTCCTGTACTTAAACTTATCAATACATATTTTTTCCACCATTTTAAAGACATCCTTTTGAAACACAAGGCTGTTTCATCTGCTAATGTCTTCCTCTTAAACATGAATTGAAAGAATACTAGAAAGTACAGTTGCCGATGGTAACCCAGCTTCAGAGGCAAATTACTTCTGCAGTACTTGGGTGTTTGACTTGTGAAGTGATTTGCTTACTGATATTCCTACACTTCTACTCAACTGTCTATACGTTGAAAGCAGAGCACAGACTGTGAGGGACAGAATTCATCCCCAACAAACTCATAAATAGCCAGATGTACAAGCAGCCTGGAAAAGCTTAGCCCATAGCACAGGAAGCCCACCAGCTATTGTACTGTCTGTGCTCAGGACCATGGGAAGCTACACTCTTAGGGACGGGAAGGAATCATCCTGGTAAGAGAAAGCAGTCCAATCAACCAGAGAGCAATTCAATCTCTATTTTTTTCTTTTTCCTGAAAATGAGGTTGAATCCTGCGTTCCTTGGAACACTTAAAAATATTAAGAGTGAACATAAAATGTTGCTTGTCAGCTTAAAGAAATGACCACTGAGACCTGAGCTCCAGGACAAGTCATATACCACCTTGATGAGATGTAACCTTGCGTATAGTCATCAACTTTTTTGAGCCACATTTTCCTCCTGTATAAATAGAGCTCTTACTGTGCAGAATTAGTGCAAAGATCAAATGAAATTAACTTTTTGACTCCTGAATGACAACTCCTTTCTATCTGTGCTAGTCAGCTCTTCATCACTGTGACAAAATACCTGGGAAGGTCAACTTAAAAGACAGAAAGATTTATTTTGGCTTATTGTTTCAGAAACTTCAGTCCATGGTCAGCAGGCTCCAGGGCAGAAATACTGGGTATGGTGAAGAAAGGTATGGTGGTGGGAAGTTGCTTACTTGTGGCATCCAAGAAAAAAAGAGGGCACAGAACAGCCAGGAAGGAAGGCTTAGGGGACCGGATATAGTCCCCAAGGTCACGCCCAAATGATCTAGTCCCTTTCACCAAGTCCTATCTCCTGTTGCTATTATTTCCCAATAATGTCATTAAACTATAATTTCATCATTATCAATTGATAAAGTTAGAGTCTGCATGATCTAATCACTTCTCTAGGTGCCATCTTTGGGCAAGACTTTGGGGAACATTTCATATTTAAGCCATAACACTGCCCACTCCATTCTACAAGAAAATAACCAGCCAATGGCTTAGTCTTAACACATGCAAGAGCTTAACAGACCAGCATGGTGCATAACAGAGTGGTGGCAGGCAATAAATATTTGTCGAACTGACAAAGTAATCATTGGAAATATAATTCAATAATTTTACAATCCCCAATGAGGCTAAAAAACAAAGGTTAGGGCAGCTTGCCAAAGTCACATAACTAGTTGGTGACAGAACCAGGGATCCACATGTAACCCGCAATTCCCATTCACTATTCCCTGCTCTATAAAGCCATCTATGTTTCTCAAAACGATTTGTAAGCAAAATAGCAGTGATTTATGGAAAGTAAATCATAAACTAGCCTCAAACACTGATTTCTTGGCATTTGAGGACCATTTTACATGGAGCAGATATTCAGATTTCCTATTGAAAATCTCTGCAGGGACTTACAGATTACAGAGTCTATTTCCCAAAAGCCAGTGTTTCCCCGACTTGCCTCAATGGACTCTGAGATGCTGAAGGTAAAGCAAGAAAGACAATGCCAGAGGCAGGAATGGGGAGGGGAGGAAGGGCTCTGTGTGTGTGTGTGTGTGTGTATGTGTGTGTGTGTCTATGTGTGTGTTCTAGCATATGCAAAAACTCCTTTCGGGAAATGAGAAGAGTGACTCTGAGGTCTGTACAAGGACATCCTTAGTGATACAAAAATATTATGAGTCGGCAACCTGAACTGCCGTGATTCACAGCACAGAGTCTCATTAGAAGCCATTCGGCAAATACTGTAAAGGGAGAATCACCAAGTTCAGAGAGGGGGCAGCTCTAGAGAAAACTGTCATTGATTCAAGTGAAAACAGTCCAGAAGTTTAGGAATAACAGGATCGCTGGACTGGCTTATTTTTCTGGTCTGTGCTCCACATATCTCTTCTCTCTGCAATTCCCAAGGCAGATTCTTCCTGTAGATGAATTAGGCCGGGTGAGGAGAACAGAATTCTTGCCCATAATTTTTTCAGCATATCTGGTTGATTTATCTGTTGATACCACTGTGTTGTGGCAGTTAAAATGCTGCAACATTAGAACAAGCTGGAACAGACTTCGTGCATTCATAAACCATATGAAAACCACATGTTGGAGACGTGGGAGAACGAGTCCTGATAAGAAAATAGTTGCGAACATTTGCAATGCTTTGCTTAAAGCTGAAGCAAGGACACTAAGTGCTTGGCTGCAGAACTGTAAACACTTCGATGGAATTTGGGGATCATCACCTTGTAGAATCCTTGAGATAGAGATGGCTCTGCATTCAGACAGGTGAATGGCTCAAGCACATAGGATAAACATCATTTCACAGTCCTACAAACCAAGAGGAAATTTACTACATTCCTTGTCTCTGACCCCACCCACTTTGGTCTGTTCTCTTCTTGATCTCTTAGGGAGAAAATGGAGCCTTTTAGTCACCCTCTGGCTAAAAAACGACATTTTTCATTTGCTTAGGAGGTATTCTGGATGGACTGGATGTCAGAAGATATGGTTTAAAGCTGGAATCTGTGAGTGCCTAGGTGTGCGAGCCTGGATACAAATGTAAACCTCTCATTTTACAGAGTCCTCATCTGCAAAATGATTGTAATGATCGCTCACTCAGAGACTTCAAGAAGAGAATGCGGAAATGTTTCTACAACTCAACAGGGAAGCTGTGAATCACAGCTCAGAGTTCTTGAAACTTGTGTAATGTATAAACTCTTTCATATGGGGAAAAAAAATCCTCATAAAGCACTAAGAAAGTGATCTCAAGCGGAGGACACAATGTCCACTTTGAGAACCACAAAGAGAAGCATGGAAATTCTTATTTTATATTCAAAAAAGAAATATTTTCATCTGAAATTATCACTAAAAATTTTTAAAGCAGTGCTTAATGAACAATAGGTGAAATGAGATTATTTGAAAGATTACCATCAAAATAAATACACAAAAATTTTAAGTATCTGTAACTTTTGATCCCTGAGGAAAAACCATAAAGAGATCCTGACATGGTATTTAGAATTCATATGCAAAAAATAAAGGATTTTAAGCCTGGCTTTGCTATTTACTAGCTCTGTGATTTAGGGCAGGGAATGTAATCTCTCAAAATCCTCCACTTCCCATTTTAGATTGCTGGGCCCCACAGTCCTGATTAACACTGAGGAAACCTGGTATAGTACTCTGTGAGCAAAGTCACAAGGGAAAGTTCTAGTCTGGGACTGTTAAGGTACAAGGTCAGATTCAGCTGCGCACACTTAAGCAAACCTCTTGCCTTTGCTGTGCCTCCGTTTCCTCTCAGGAAAAACAGGATGGTCGTCTCTGACAAACTTCTCTACCTTGCAGAGCCTGCTGGAGCCTCAACCTTCACAGGAACAAGCCTGCTATACAAACAAGGAAGCAGCCTCCCAGAGCTGCATGTCTGGAAAACGGACTCTGACATTGCCCCAGGCAGAGAAACCACCATCCCTATCTGGAAAATCAAATCCTTCTTAAGGTGAGCGCTCTAGTTTATTATGATCTTCTGCTTCTGCTGCCAGAAATGAGCTCAGCCGAAAGTGCCATTAGCTACCTGCTGCTGGGTGCATTTGCTGTCAAGGTCCTTTTTATCAGGTGGCGGGCTGTGAAAAGCCAGATACTGCGTAAATGCATCTGTTCCTTGGGGAGCCCAGCAGTTGTACTTACTGAGGCTTTGGAAAAGCCCAACCCTCTCTGGACCAGGATAAGATGCTGATAAAGCCGTGAATGAAATCTGTTCTTGCTCCGTCTGCCCTGTGCACCACCGCACATAGAAGAAATCAATGAGAAGCCAGGCACAGCCCTAAGTGCTTTACCTACTCCATCTCTATCCTTCCTCCTCTTAATTTTCCCTCCTCTACCCGCACCACAGAAGCACATATGATGAGGAATTAGGCTTGATAAAGTAGAGCCCACAGCAGTCTCTGTCAAGTTTCTAGAAGTGATCCAGGTACATCTAGTGAGAGCAGGCTGATATTTCAGCCCATGTTGATTGAAGGTTATCTGGATTATGAGAGCTGAGCTGAGGCTATCACACAGCACCGCCTCCGTCATCTTCACAATCACCCTGAAGCTTGTAGCTATCCTTCCCTTTTCACATCAGGGGTTAGTGGAGACACCGATACTCACCTGCACAGGCCCTTCCAAGTGTCACAGACAGCTGGTCCCATCATCTGTCCTGGCTCATATCATAATAGCTTATCAAAGAGGCTCCTTAAGGTACAGGAGGACGGTTCTAATCCCAATACCACCCTAAACAACCGTGTGCTCTTGAGCTCTTGCCTTACCCAGCTCTGAACCAGTTCAACTTCTGTGTATAATGTGATTACGCAGTTTGACTGAGATGATATATATGTACCCATACCCTATGAACCATTGCACACCTGGGAAGATACTTACTGCAATCATATGAAACACCTCTTACTCTTCACTTAGACAGTAAGTCACCTTAACAAAGAGGTGGGTATTCAATGGATAACCTGTGAAGAATGACAGGGACATCCAATAACCAACTACCGGAATCCACCCTGACCATAACCACTTGCCCACTATAGGTTGCTACACCTTGAGTATGCTGCCTAAAACTTCATCTGCTGGAACCTTAATTCCCAATGCAGAGTGGGAGATAATGCCAAATGGGAGCTGTTTGGGTCATGAGATAGAGCCTTGCTAAATGAATTCATGACTTTCTTGCAGGAATGGGTTAGCTATCATGGAAGTTTGCTATCCTTTACTCTCTTCTGCACATACTTGCTTGTCCTTCCTCTTCCCACCATGAGTTGAAGCAGCACAAGGCCCTCACCAGAAGCTAAGAAGGTGCTGACACAATAATCTCAGACATCTCAGTCTTCAGAACCCTAAGCCACAGTAACAATCTTTTCTTTATAAATTACAGGCCTCAGATCTCTGCTCCGGGCTAAGACACAATACAACTTTGGGCCCAGAATTCGATGTCCCACTATATTCACCTAAGCTAAGATGTAGAGTGCATGCATCTCTCTGGCTAGCATGCCTTCTAGTTTATGTGATTTGGGGCACTGGCTCTTTGAACCTCAGTCCCTTCTTTAAATAGAGATGGTAATCTCTACCACACAAGATCATTGTGAAGGTCAAGCAAGAATCACACAAAGACATTGGCACAACGCTAGGCATATCAGTGGGGCTCCATGGGTGTTTGCTCCTTTGTGTACTGGTCCTGAAAGTTTGGCTGTATTTTCACTCATTTGTGAGCTGTGTCATGCAGGACTCCATCAGGGCACAGAGCCAGGCAGGCTTACTTCCTATATATACGTTTGTGGGAAAGTCTTCAGCACTAGAAATAAGAAGAGAACAATCACCCATAGATATTGTACAGATGATCCTCAAAGTAAAGGAAGCCCATGAATAATTTCCTCTTTATGACACCATATCTGACTATGATCAATAACCAGTTCTTAGATGGATGGTGTCTTAGTCCATTTTGCTATAACAAAATATCATACATTGGATGACTTATCAACAGCTGATATTTACTTCTCACAGCTCTGGAGGCTGGACCAGGATGCAAGCATGGCTGGGTTCTGCTAAGGGTCCACTTTCTTGTTCACAAATGGTACCTCCTATGTCCTCAAATGACAGAAGAAATAAGTGAGCTCCCTTGGGCTCCTTAGGATACTAATTCTATTTATGAGTAGTCCATTCTCATGACCTAATAATCATCTCCCAAAAGACCCCACCTCATAACACGATCACTCTAGAGGATAGGGTTTTCACATATTAATTTTGGAAAAACATAAACATTTAGACCAGAGCAGATGACTGGGTGATGGCACCTTCCAAAGGCAATTTCACCACTGCCAAGAGCTGCTTAGGCAGATCTGGCCTCACTGTTTGGCTCATCTTTCCCACAGTTGCTCACTGCCAATTCTTCTCTGTCCTAGAGATGGTACAGATATCCAGCCAGAAGAACTGACTGACCTAAGTACAAAGGGGGATCTAAAGGTATGGTGAATGTTCAAATATCAAATTGTATTACAGTAAAAGAGACAGTGCCATTATTATTACTCCCCTTGAAAGTATTCCCTCTCACTTCAAACACATTCATCCCATCATTCCTGCCACTTTCTGAAGCACTCCCGGAAGTCCTTTTTTGTGACCATCTTTACAAGGTATGATAAAAATGTAGTGAATTTTCCCACCAAGTGTCATCAAATGGAAAAGCAGGATAGGCAAAGCATGGTGTGATCTCTTATACCTTATTCACCACACCTGTACCTGACTTCTGACGTTTCCCTAAAGTCAATCTGCAATGAAAGGTAAACATTTCGGGTGGATTCAGACATCACGGCAACCACAGCTCAACCAAAGACACTCATGAAAGAGACTTTCAGAATTGCTTCAGAAAGTGGCAAAAATGATAGGATTAGTATGTGCAAAATGAAGGATTCAATGGCAAATTTGTTTTTTACTGTAAATAAATTCATTTTGAAATTTAAATATTCATGGCATCATGCAATCAGTTAAGTCCAAGGAAGAGCTATCCTTGGGGAGGTTTGAGTAATTGTTTCTCTCTTCATACTTCTCTATTTGCAGCAAAATTATGAGTTCAAAAATCATGCCAAATTATACCATGTAGGGAACAAAATTGTTCTTCCTGGTATTTAGACTGAAGGCTCTGACTGATTCCAAGTTCCACATGTTCCTTTCAGTACTCTGCATTTGGCTTATTCAAATGTTTGAACAAAAAATTATAGGGCAAAAACAAACATGCCAGAGGATCTTAAGAGAATAATACACTACAGGATAATAGATGAAAAAATTAAACATAGGAGGAGTTGAAAAAATAGGAGATGACGTTTGAAATGAAACCTTGAACAATGGGTAAAGCTTGAAAAGGTAGACATGGAAGCAAAGTGTATTCCAGTGAAGCCAAGCAGACACAGAGATAGACTTTAAAGAGTAAGGAGTTTAATCCACATGGATGGTATAGTATACATCCATGTGTACTATAACAAAATATGCTCAACCTCCTTGCCATACTCTTGTTCACTTATGACAAAGTTTTGTTCAAGAACCAAAGAATGCCAGAGACTTCTAGAGCTCACCCAAGTTTAGCTTTGTTTTTCTACTGGATTCAGAAAACGATTCTATTTCCTCTCCACCCCTATGGCTAGGCAGGGTCATCTAACTAATTCTGGGCAACACTGTGTATGCAGAAATGGTCAGCATAACTTTCTGACAAAATCAATTGGCATTTCATAATCTCCACCACATCTTTTTGTGGCTTATTCAAACTGCATTCAGTAAAAGTTATATTTTCCAAAAGGCTTAGCTATCAAACAGTAAAAGCTACCTACAAATGGATCACTGAATCATGTCACACAGAGCCAGTGGCTTGGAACACAGATCCCCAGTCCTTTGGCCACAGACCGCTACTAGTCCAGAGCCTAATAGGAATCAATCCTTAGAGCAGATGGTGAGCAGTGGGTGAGCTAGCAAAGTTTCATCTACATTTGCAGCCCCTCCTTACTGCTCAAGTTATTGCCTGAGCTCTACCTCCTGTCAGATCAGCAACAGCAGTATTCTCATAGAAGCATAAACACTGTTACAAACTGCACAGGTGAGGGATCTAGACTGCTCACTCTTTATGAGAACCTAATGCCTGATGATCTAAGGTGGAGCTGAGGTGGTGATGCTAGCATTGGTGAGAGGCTGCAAATATATATTAACTTTAGCAGAGTGATGTGACTACACAGAGATCATAATAAATCAATTGCTTGCAAACTCATGTCACAACCTCTATTAGTGAGTGGCAAGTGAAAATTAAGTTGCATCTGGTGGCAGACTTTATAGTGGCAAGTGAATTGAGGTACTTCAGATGTACAGGTGCATTTGGTGTCAGGTGTAAAGTCCAAATCTGACACTTATTTTAGTCTGCACGTGGCTTGCTCTTTATTTTATTTACCACTTCATTTGTACTTCTTTCCCACACTGTGCACTTGTCTCAGTCACAGTTTTAGTAAGCCCACAAGCTAACCCTGGCCAAAATGAGTAAAAACAAGCATCACTAAAGAACTGCTTTCAAAAGGGTGAAAGACAGCAGCAGAGTCTAAGACTGCCAATAAAAAGAAAGACACATTTAAAAGAAAATACCAAAAGTCTTACTTAAATTATGGGTTCTTTGCAACAGGTGATTCAAATTCTCTAAGCCCACTTTTTATAATATGTGGCAACCAGCTATTCAACAAAGCCATGAAGCCTTCAAAATTACTTGACCACACAGAGACCAATCACCATAAATTAGAAAACAAACCTGTATATTTTTTAAATGAAAAAAATGCAAACATGAACAGAAGCAATTAATGAAGACCTCTACTTCATCAAATGTGTCTGCACTGAAAGTATCATTCTTAGTGGCTTTAACAATTCATTGCTGAAGCTAAGAAGCTGTTTACCATTTGTCAAGAGTTGATCTTGCCTTCTGTGAAGGACTTTTATCCTTATAGGAAAGAATGGAGTTCAAAGGTGACACATGTTCTTCTTTTGGCTATCACTATAACTAGAAAAATTGATGAGAAGGCAGAGGATATTAAAGCACAGTTTTCAGAGAGGATTACTGAGTCATGTGGCATGCAAGCCAGGTTGACAAATCTACCGATGTTGAAAACAAGGCAGCAATGCTTGTTTTTGTGTGATACATCTTTCAGGAAGATGTGCACAAGGATATGCACTTTTGTTGCCAATCAACACTACGGATGCAGAACTATTCAAATCTCTGAATGTTTACATATCATGAAGGCTGTGTTGGTTGTTTTGTGTTGGTACACACATGGATAGAATAGCTGCCATGACTGAAGAGCTTCCTTGTTTCACTACTTGGGTCAAAGAGGTCACTTGTGAATGTAAATCTAAACACCCTGTCATTCCCAGAGAAATGCTTGCTAGCCAAAAAGTATCACCCTAACAATGTTTTGGAGGATATTATCAAAGTTACCAACCACGTTAAAGTACATAGCCTTAACTATATCTATCTGTGCAGCTCTGCAAGGAGATGGGGACAAAGCACATAGATCTTCTCTTATACACAGAAGTGAAATGGCTTTCTGAAGGTAGAATACTGGCCAGAGTTTTTGCCCAGAGTTGCGAGAGCTGCTCCGAGACTTCCTTTACAAAAACAGTTGTCACTGACAGCACATATCAGCAACACAGCATGGGTTGCCAAACTTGCTTATTCATGTGACATATTCAACCTACTCAACCCATTCAATCTGTCACTTTGATGGAGAATGACAGCTGTGTTCAAGTCAGAAGATAAAGTGGATGCATTCAAAGCCAAACTGGAATGATGAGGGCAACAAGCGAACACTGAGATTTCTGACATGTTTTAAACATTAGCAGAGGTTCTGAAAAAGACTGAGAAGAGCCTTCTTTCTCCCACCTAGTTCATAATCACCTGCCTCATGTTTCAGAAGAGTTTGAGCATTACTGACAAACCACAAAATCCCCAACCTGAGGAGAAATGAGTCCACAACACATTTGTAAATAAGTCAGGTGAACTGCTGTCATACTAGACTCTGATCTCAACTGCTTGAGATCACAAATGATGGCAGCTTTAAAAGTATGTTTCAGATAACCTCTAATCTCCACACATTCTAGATTAAAATCCAGGTGGAATATCTTGAGATTGCCACAAAAGTATTGAAAAACTTGCTTCTGTTTTCTATCTTTATGAAGCAGAGTTTCCTGGAATGACAGCAACCAAAATAAGACTGTAGAGTAGATGAGACATGGGCAACACACTTTGGGTGTCGGTGTTCCCCATCACCCCCAGGTGGGATTATCAGGTTGCAGGAAAAGTCTTATCTCAAGGCTCCAACTGATTCTGCATTAGGGTTAGTTGTATAAGTTTTTATTATGTGTTACAATGTAATAATAATCAAAATAATGTACACAATGTATATAATGCTCTTCAATCATCCTGAAGTCACCACCCTAGTCCACTGAGAAATTTTCTTCCATGAAAGCATTCTCTAGTACAAAAAAGTTGGGGACCACTGGCTTAGAACGTCTCCTAGGTCTTCGGTGAAATGTTGGTAAACAAGAAATGAACCTCTAATATTAAGCCATTTTAGGAACACTTGTTATGGAAGCATCACTAATATATCCCAATAAAAAGAGTTTCTAGAAAATGATCATGAGGCTTATGAAGGCCATTTTAGACCTAATGTAGTTAGTTGCTCCTTAGAGGCTAACAGCTCTAAGAGTCTTTATGGGCAGAGAGAGCGATAGCTACTACATTTGTACCAAACCTCTGGCATACAGAGATCCCTTCCTACTTCTAGGCAGAACTTGTCAAAGATAACAGCAATACCAAGGGCTTTCTGATTTAATTTTAAAGAAAAGATGACGTGTGGTATTGTTGATCATCCCTAAAGCTACACTGAGATTTGGATAACGCGAAAAATGACCTCACAGCATATTTACATAGTAATAATTACTACCATTTAGTAAATTGCTGAGATTTCAAATGCTAGTGGACAACTTACAGCCTCAGCCAATTTCATCCTTATATTAATCCTACAACATTTAGATTATTATCTTCAACTTACAGATAAGAAAACAGACTTCCAATAGGGACATGTTGTGCTCGAGTTCACCTAAGCCAGTTAGAAAAGAGCTAGGACATGCATCCAGATATGTCTGCCTACAAACACACTCTTTTCATGAAGTCATTCTATCCTCTAAAACCCACAGGAAGCATAGGTGAAAATAGAGTCTTCACTGAAAGTTTTCATCTTTAATGAGAAAGTATATGTGAAATGTGGCAGAAGCAGATGGCACTCATCAACTCTGTGTTTCCCAGTCTCCCCAGTAATTAGTCTGACCCTATGATGAGCTTTGGCCAATGAGACAGAGGGACAGGTGTTATTTGTGGGCTGAAAGAGTTAAAAGAGGGTATGTTTCTTCTGTTGTCTCAGTCCCTGCTTCCCCACAAGGATGCACTCCAACTGGCTTGGCTACAAGATGAAAGATGGCCTCGAGACCTTCACAATGTTCTATAAGTAAAAAATAAGCCCTATTATGCTAAAACAGGATCAAGTGTGTGTGTGTGTGTGTGTGTGTGTGTGTGTGGGTGTGTGTGTGTGTTCTTATTAGACCACAGGTTAAAAGAACTGCTTTAACCCTGATGGTTCTAGCCAGGTGTGGTGGTGCACGCTTATAATCCCAGCACTCAGGAGGCTGAAGCAGAAGGATCGCTGTGAGTTCAAGACCAGCCTGGGCTACAAAGTGACCTCAAGGCCAGTCTGAACCACATAGTGAGACCCTGTCTCAAAACAAAACAAAACAAAAAAAAAACCCTAATGGTTCTGACACATTTTGATCATTGGTCATTGTGTGGCTCACTTGTCCTTGTTTCACTTGCTAGTTACTTTTTCTTAAAGGCATGCATGCATCAAACTGCTCCTAAGAACTAAAACTAGGACGTTGACGATAACCTTCACCTAATTACATGGTTCTTCTGCCAGCTCCCTCCTCTGCCTTCATTCCCACATGAATCACCCTAAATTCTTTTTTTCACCCTAAATTCTATACAGACATTTCTCATTTAATGATCCAGTTCCATTCCTGTGACTAGATCGCTAAGTGATTTAGTCGCTATATGAAGAATTGTATTTAGTATGCACATTACAATATTCAGAACAAAGAAATGGTCAAAGGAAACTTTAAATTGATGACTTTGCTTTTATTTGCATGATTCTTACATACAGTATTGGTGTGCATAACAGAACATAAAACTACAGTGTCATACCATACATACAATCAGCAAAAGCCATAGTACTCTATAAACAAGGCATATGGTACGAAAAAACATTGAGCTCTAGAAACAAGATGTACAGGACTGTACCAAAGAAAAGATGGGTCTTAAATCTGAGAGGTGGGTCCTAAGTCTGAACAATGCCCCTAAGTAATAATTCCAGTTGTTAAACAGGTAGGTCGTTAAGCAAAGAAGTATCTATATCTTTATTCCTTTGTTTTTCTTAATACATGATTTTGTTATGTCTCTATCTATCTGCCTTCCTAACATAGGGATGTGTTGTGTTTTAGTGTTTTTAAATTTATAAAAATGGCTTCATGCCATAGTTAATTAACTAAACCTATTTTTTGTTTGTTTTATGAGACAGGGTCTCATTACATAATCCAGGCTGACCTTGAACTCACTGTGTAGCCCAGCTGGCCTCAAACTCATGGCAATCCTCCTATCTCAGCCTCCTGAGTGCTGGGGTTATAGGTGTGTGCCACCGTGCCAGGCTGAAACCTAGTTATGTTTATTTGATGAATTATTTTTAAGATCTATCTGTTTGTTGAAAGTTGCTGCACTTTATTCTGACTGATACATTCCGGACTGTTTTCTGTTTTGTTTTGTTTTTTTCTTGGCCTTGACTTAACTGTGCTTCTCTACAGATTTTAAGGGAACTTACTTGATTGTTGCATCCATTCATTACAGGGGAAGCAAGATCCAGAAATGTCACAGGCAAACTTGAAGCAGCAGAAACCTGGGGTTTTCACTGGCTCATGAACCCAAGCTTCATCCCTTCCAAGTCAGATTTAGGGAATGTTTCCTCATCTATAAAAGTGTCACCTTCCTGCTGCTTCTACTCTGATGTGGCAAGGATTCAACAAGATAAAGAATGCACGGAGCGTTTTACGAGTCCTAACATACTACATAAATATTATCATAAATGAGAGGAAAAAATTCCTTCAGTCTGCTTTTCAAAGGACACACGCATGTGAACACAGGCACATAGGTCTCTATTTCAACTAAAATCAACACGTTTATGCTTAGAGCCATATTTCTATTCCAGCTGCCCTCTGCACAATCATCAGTAGGATGACTAGCAAATTGGAATCATCCCTCTCCTCTGCCAGATGTCTCCACTCTTCTCAGTCTTTGACAAGTCAGATGATATTCATTATTGGTCTTCCGACAAATTGCAGGTGATGGAGATTCAGAGGTGGGTGTATTTGTTCAGCACATGCTTCTTTGCCCACTGTGCATGTGTGCGGATGGGACATTGTTTGAGCTTCAGTTTATACCACACAGACTGGCTTGCTCTTTCATAGGGCTTTGCAGACAGCCAATCCAGGTTTGAAACCCAACAGTGGCGTTTATCTCAAAAGAGGTACATAAGCTCTCTGAATCTCCATTCTCCCATCTGCAAAGCGCAGCTCTTACAGAATGAAGTCAGATTCTGTAAGATGAAAACGAGGAAAAGCTCTTGAAGTAAATAAGCTCTCATCAAATGCTAGTATTTCTTTTTATTTTTCTTTACTTGGTAGTCAGTTTTTATAAAACATTTGGTAAAAGGGGTAGTATTATCGGAAATACCTGCAAGGAAAAGCCATTTCAAGTCTGAGAAAGGTTTGCACTTTCGCTGTGGTTGGGATAAACCCATAGCACAAAAGTCCCATGTGTTAAATAGGTTTGGTTGCCAGTCTGTAGCGCTGTTGGGAGATGATAAAACCTTTAAGAGGTGCGGCCTGGTGGGACAAAGTTGTATCACTGGGACATAGCCGTGAAAGGGATGCTGGGACTCCTGACCTATTCTTATCTCTCTCTCTTTGGTACCTGGTCACTATGAGGAGAACAGGCCTCTTCTACCACACGACTTCTGCCATGATGAGCTGGGTGCCATGGGTCCAAAGCAACAGGGCCAAGAGACCATGGACTGAAGCCTCTGAAGCTGTGAGACAAAATGAAACTTTTTTCCTTTTAAACTGACCATCTCAGGTATTTTGTCCTAATAATGGAAAGCTGAATAACACAGGCTTTCTAGATGCTGGTTTTGGCCAAAGCAGAAACTAACCATTTTTTGTAGTTAGAAAGCAGATATCCACAAAGAAACTGACCCAGCTGGTTCTGGACAGTCAGGAGAGCCATTCCGTGAAGTCAGGAGACAAGGACTTGGAGGAGAGTAAACTTGGGCAGATTAAGCCTCATAGTGCTGCAGAATGAGAAGTCAGCTAAGGAGGAAGAGGAGATCTACTTTCAAACAAGGGAGAGGAGCTGCTCCTAAAGGAGGCATCCCAGAAGGATAGAAGATTCCCTGAGACTTCACTGAGACAATAATGAACAATAAATCATTCCAAGGAGAAAGGCTAAGGATCAGGAGCAGTCAAGAGTATCCAACTATCCACCCAGTGGATTATTCAATGACTTACTCTTTTAAACGCAAAACAGAGCTGTCAAAGATGAGAGAACAAATTAGGTTTTGGTAATGCATTCCGAGAAGGCTTAAGCTTCTAAGTTCTAGCCTAGAGTTTAGAAGCCATCGGTCCATGGGATGAACCAGAAGCATTTCAAACCGTAATGTAGATGAGAGAAAGAGAATATCAGGTCAGTACATGAAGCACTTTCAGTGATGTAACTCAAGCTACAGCTAGAGAGTGAGCAATATGGTAGCACTAGCCCCATTTTTTTCATTAAAAGCAATTAAATTTTACAAAGTAAGACTTCAGTTCCTCACTCACACCGGCCGCATTGCAAGCACTCAGTTGCACACATGGCTAGTGTCTACTACATTGTATGATCAAAAACTATACTGAATGTTAGAATTTTTAAAAATTACAGTACAAGACACATGCCATTCATTGCCATCATTTTGAATATACATCCTATCATTCTGGCCACATTTTAAAGCAGTTCTGGAAGTCCCCTTTTCTGTCTCTAGGTGCATGTCATAGCTGCCTTAATTTCCTGAATTCATTCAAAACATTTACCTTTTATGGTCATTCTGATTTGGGGGAAGAGCTGGAAGTCACAAGGTACCAGATCTGGTGAATAGGGTGGATGAAAACACATTCTCCATTTGGAAATGTCCCGGTCATCAAGCTATAGAATGAAACACTCAAAGAAGCTGAAAGGCTAATGTAGTCAGAGCTCTTCATTTCCCAGGAGTAACTATGGGGACTAGATTTTCCGGGCAATGAGGGCCAAAGCCAGGATCAAAGGCATGTCTACACCTCTCTCTGTCTCTCATATCACAGTCATCCTGTTAGAAGAACACAAGTCTCGCCATGGAGATTCCTCTTTCTCACTATCAAAATTGGATTAGAGTGAAGGCCAAAGACAGAAGAGTTCGGGAGAGTCAGAGCCCATGGCCACCCAAAGTCAGCATCCTTGGTGGGACCATCCAATGGCTGCTCTCTTAGCCCAACAAAGCCCAGCTTCCTGTGTGTGAGCCATTGCCCTGAAAACTCAGGATGCATTAGCCATGGCCCTCCTGTGAGGGTGATAAACTCTGATTAAAAAAGAAGAAAGAAATGTACAAAAGCTTAAGACAAAGACTCCATTCCACTAACATGGACTAACATGTGCTCTAATCCACTAACATGCACTCATATAGAATTCTGCTGTGAATTTAGGTTTTTGTGGGCCAGAAAGCATCTGAGAAAACATTCTCACATCGTGCATTAGTGGGTGACACCAGGGCATACAACAAGGGTGGGGCTTTCCTCCAGACAGAGCAGGGAGGACATTTTTGTGCTTGGCATTCACTAAGTGAGTAGTCTTGATTCTATTCCATCTCCTTGAGAGCTGCCAGATTTAGCTGTTAAAAAACACAGGACACTAAGTTAAATTTGAACTTCAAATAAACAATTAATAATTATTTTAGTATAAGTATATCCCAGAGATTTCATAAAACATATTTACACTAAAAACTATTCTCTATTTTTCTGTAATTCAAATTTTACTGTATATTTTCTGTGGCACTGATGTACCTTTCTCTTTTCTTCTTGGGAATGTTCCTGTGATCCTTCTGCTTCCTCACCTATGAAATGGGGTAAGAAAGCCCACCTTGCTGTTCTACTGAGGGTTGAGTTAGACATGGCGTGGAAAAGTATACCACTCAATAAAGAATAGTTTTCCACGCTTCCTTATTTCCTCACAGCACACTTCATATAACAAATGGAGTTGGAAGAATGTGTCCTGCCCTGGAGAAGACTTTCTGGAAGCTAGATCTGAGAAAACAGCAGTCATCAGCAAGCTGTTCCTCCTGCACAGCACTCCTGGGGAGATGTGAAGCATGTGAGTAAAATAAAAAGATGAACGTTAAGTCTTATGTAGTAACACACACCTATAATTCCAGCGTTCTGAAAAGCTCAGGCAGAGAGATCACAAGTTCAAGGCTAACCTGGGCAGCTTAGCAACGTAGTGAAACCCTGTTTCAAAATAAAAAAGGACTGAACGTGTGATTCATGTGAGGGTCCTGGATTCAATCCTCAGTATTTGGGAATAAAAAAGAATGGCAACATTTATACTGTGGGCACAGACTGACCTGTGGGATTTGAGATCTAAAAGTGAACACTGAAGTGAGATCTCTGTTCTAAAAGGAAGAACACATAAATGATAGGTGGGCAACACACAGGTGTTCACATCACTAAAGTCTCTATAGTGAAATATCAACTCCTTGGCTACTAGCCAATGACACAAGATCAGATACCAAAGAGGGCATGGTAAAGGAGATAAAGATGAGAAATAAAAACTGCAGGTCCTGAAAACTCCTATTCTTAAAGAGACAGACAAAGCATGTAGGAAGGGAGATCTGGTGTCCTGCTCAGATTGTGCCGCTATGACCAGCTCAGCAAAGCCCATCTAGGAAGGTAGCAAGAATGGCACAGAGAGATCTACAGGCTCCAAGGAGGGAGAGCTGCTTTTCCCTTCCTACTCCTCTACCCTTGGGATCCAATTCTGTGTGCTCAGTCTAAGACCTCAGAACATGCAGAAGTTGGTGTCAAAGTTTATCTTGAGTGTTTCAGATGTACCCTACCATTTAACACTGCGGAAAGGTGAACTGTATTTTGTCAGGTCTGTGGCCATCTTCTAAGAAGTTACGTTATTATTTTCCACAGGTACTAATTTGTTCTTCTCAGGTACTCACAGCTATAAGATATGAAAGACAGAAGACTAACTCTAAAAAAATTAAATTATGATCAATTTTTTGTGTACTCATCCAATCCTCAGGCCAGGGGAAAATACACTAAATTGAGACTCACAAAGGTACTGAACTGAGAACCACATTTTTGTCTTTCAACCCATCTATAATGACAAATAAGGCTCAGCAAAGAATTGAAAGGTTCAGGGTGGGGCCGGGTAAAGGAAAAGCTTTGCATCCATTTTGGAGACGTTGACTTCTGCAGCAGGTCAAAAGCTGTCAGAATCAAAGTTTAAGGTGACAGTTCTCAAAACAGTATCAGCAGACTGCTAAGTTCCGTGAGACTTTCTCAAGGGCCCATGAGGTCAAAATAATTTTCATAATAATACTAAGGATTATTTACTCTTACAAACTTCCTCGTCAGTGTACAGTGGTTTTGTGACATTATATGACACATTCATAATTATCTAAAAAGGCTGTTAAAATATTCCTCTGTTCCCCATTCTGTGGGAACCCAACTGTCATCTATTAAGCTAGGTACCAAAGAGAGGTACAAAAGGATGTAAAACAAAGGCGTCCTTTCCACTGAACATTTTTGAACTCTATATTTATTTTTCATAAAAATTTTCATTATGTTAACTTACCATGAGCTTATTATTTTTATCCTTCAATGAATTAATAGTTTTCTGAATTTCTTGACTTTAATTTTTTAGGTAAATATTGATAGCTCTACATAAAATGGAGATTTTTGGGACCTTTGATAATTTTTAAGAATGTAAAGGGGCTCCCAGACTAACAGGTTTTATCCTCATTAATTTGGGTGAGGAGAAAAAAGTGAAAATTTATAAGCAGTACATTCAATTTCTAAAGAAAATTGGATTGATTCTTACGGAGTTAGGGACTATATTTTTTTCTGAGTGGACACAAATAAGACACATAAAAAAAAGCCCAGTGGTAGATTTTAGCGCAGTAA